AGGTTGGAGGTGGTGGAGGAGGTTTCTTGCTCTCCGCTTGTTCTCTTGCAGCATTGCGCGCTTGCAGTTGCTGGAGCTCCAGTAGTGCGAGCGTTTGCGCGTCGGCCCGCCGACGCGCGACTGACGCTACGAGCGCGTGCGCTCGGCAGCCTGCGCAAGAAAGGCGAGGGGGAGGAGGAGGAGGAGGGGAGGAGGAGGAGGAGGAGGAGGAGGAGGAGGAGGAGGAGGAGGAGGAGGAGGAGGAGGAGGAGGAGGAGGAGGAGGAGGAGGACGGGGAGGAAGAAAAATCGGCATGAGGAGGTGGAGGCGGCGAGCCGCTCCGTGGCACAGGAGCGCCCCTGGCCCCCCCGGGCCCCCCCGCGCGCTCGCGCGGCCGGCCGCCGCCCAGGAACCCCGCGGGCGGGGCCAGCTGCCGGCGCCGCGGCCGCAGGCCCTGTCGTTGAGGCGCCAGGGGCTGACAGTTGGCATCCCGACTTTCGGGGGCAACCGGAGGGGGGGGGGGATAGGCACTGCGGGGGGGAGGCGTGGACCCCCCCTTCGTCCATTCGGCGCCGAGGGGGGCCCGAGCAGCCCCACCCCGCCCCGGAGCGTGGGGCTTGCATTTCGGGGGCCCGTCCCCGACTTGCCGGCCACGTATCGCCGATTCTAGGTCGATGCTCCCCCCCCCCCTTCTGCCAGTTTCCCCCCCTGTCGTTGCCCCTCATACCTGGTGTGGTCCGTCATGTGGGATCCTCCGAGGCTCCCAGAATTCCTTGCGGTTTTGGGGATCTCGTCTGGACTTCGTAGGACATGGTCGGCGTCTGGACGGAATCTGGACGAAATCGAAATCTGGACGAGATCTGGACGAGATCTGGACGAAATCGGTCAGAATCTGGTCGAAATCGCGTTTATGATGGGGCCGCGGAGGTCCACATGGGCTCCCGCAAGCACCAATTATCCCCTCCCCCCTCGGAGCCGGCTGGAAGTCTGAGGTGGCCCAGTACCTGGCCTCGAACCCTCATTCTGAAGGTCCAGCGCCTGATCTCGAACTCCAATTTTGGAGCTGGCTGGGGTTCTGAGGTGGCCCAGCATCGCATAAGCCAAGCGTGCAATTTAGTGCCACCTCGGACAAAAACAAACACCCCAGGGGCGGGTTTGGTTTTTACGATTGTCCCCAATCTCCAATCTCGGGACTTTGTTTTGTTCGCCTGGGTTTTCACAAACACCCCTGGGTGTGGGTTTCTTTTTTTAGGTCTTTTGAATTTCGACACCCCGGGCCCGAGATTGTTTGGTACGTTTTCTGAAAACTCGGTATCTCGGGCCTGGATTCGTTTTTCCAGGGTTTCGGGAAACTCGACGCCCCAGGCTCGGGTTAGTTCGTCCGGCTTTCCGAGGGGGGTCGGCGGGACCCGGGGAGAGTTTCCGAAGGGTTTGTGGAAAACTCCGAGCCCTGGGTCCGGGTTAGTTTTTCTAGGGTTTCGGGAAACTCCACCCCCCACCAGGAGGAGCGAGCGGACCCGCGCTGTGTTTTCGCAGGGTTTCTGGAAATCTCCGAGCCTCAGGACTGGTTTTTCTAGAGTTTCCGCATGGTTGCTGGAAAACTCGGAACCGAGGACCAGATGGGGGCCGAAGAGACCCGGAGAGTTTCCACATGGTTTCTGGAAACCTCGGAACCCGCGGCCCAGGTTGGTTTTATAAGGGTTTCTGGAAACTCCAACCCCCTGGCCCGGGTTAGTTTTTCCGGGTTTCTGAGGGGCCCGCTGGATTTGTGGAGAAGGGAGGGCAGGAAGTGAGAGGAAACGGGGAAGAGCTGGAAATACTTTTGGCAGGTGTTCTGACACCTCGAAACTCTGGGCCCGGGTTAGCTTTTCCCTGGTTCCGAAACCATCGACGCCCCGGGCTCGGATTAGTTTGTCCAGGTTTCCGAGGGACGCGGGGGAAGCCGGGGAAACCTGGGAAGAGTTTCCGCGGGGGTTTTGGAAAGCTCGGGACCCCCAGGCTCGGATCCCTTTGTCCAGAGTTTCGGGGAGCTCCGCACCCCAGGCCCGGGTCCATTTTTCCAGGGCTTGGGGGGATTTCCCACCCCAGATTCCGAGGGACCGGGAGGAAGCCAGAGGGACCTGGGTAGAGTTCCTGCAGGGCTTCTCTCGACAGTTCGGAACCCGGGGCCCGGGGTCAGTTTCCCCAGAGTGTCGGGAAAGTCCAACCCTTGGGCCCAGGTTGGTTTTTCCGGGTTTCCGAGGACCCGCTGGTGGATCCGGAGAGGGGACAGGAGGAGAGAGGAAGCGGAGAGGAGCCGGGGATAGTTTTGGCAGGTTGTCTGAAAATTCGGAGCCCCTGGCCCGGGTCCGTTTTTCCAGGGTTTTGGAGAACTCGACGCCCCGGGCTTGGGTTCTTCTCTCTGGGTTGGTTTCTTGACAATTCTCAGGAGGGGAAGAAACACATAGACACAACTAATCGTCGATTCCCCAGAAAATATGGGAAAAATGTGGGAATTGGGCGGGAAGACAGAAACCCAGAAAATATGGGAAAGTATGGGGGATCTTTTTATTCGTGTGTCTTTATTTGTGTGTCCCAGGGCCCCTTGAAACTCGGACCTTTGGGTCCGAGTTCGTTTCTCCAGCCTCGAAAGACTCCCCACTCCGGTCTCGGGTTGGTCCGCCCGCGCTTCCGAGGGAGAGTTCGCGGCGGGGAGGGCGGGAGGAGTTCTGGCATCACCACCTGGCATCGTTACCACCAAACCCGGGTCCTCGGGTTGGGCTGGGGTGGTCTGGTGGGTACTCCAAATCTCATAATAGTGGGGGGGGGGGGGTCCACAAAAGTGTTTGACGGCCAGCCTGGGACCCCCCCCCCCAAGACAGGCAACAAGAGGTCCAAAATCGAGACCCCCCCCCCAAATGTGTTTGACGAAGCCCGTGAGACCCCCCCCAGAAGCAGACCCCCCCCCATTCTTATGAGATCCGGAGTAGTTCTGGCAGGGCTTCTGGAAACTCGGATCCGCCCGCTCGTGTTAGTGCATCTCTGGGCGTCTGGGGGACTGGGGAGGGGGCGGAGGAGCTCGGGTAGATTTTTGGCGGGGTGTCTCGAACCTCGGACCCCCCCGGCCCGGGCCAGTTTTTTTTTTCAGCTTTGAGGAAGCCTAGTCTTCGGGCCCGGGTGTGTTTTTCTGGCTCTTGAGTCGTCGAAGACCGCTGCAGCACAAGGCCCCAACCAAGGGCCATGGTGCCGTCGAAGCCCAGAAAAGCAAACCCCGGTATCCGTTCCTCGAACTCCGGCAGAGCAAACCCTCCGCTGCTCTGGTTTGTTTTTTGTCGGGGCCCTGGGAGGGAGCGGGCACGTCGACGGCCAGAAGGTTTCCGGACCCTCCAAGCCTCAACGAATGGAACCCGTTCTTCTGCAAGATTGGCTTTTTCCGGGGCGGGAGTACCCGGTGACCCCCAGGCAGCGAAACAGGCAAACTCCGCGGCAGAATGCGGGGTTTCGCGAAGCCTTTTCAAAACAATCCTTCCGCCGCGACTTCGAGTTCAGCCCCTACCTATAAACAAACGTGCTCACGAGGCTCCTCCAGCATCGGCACTGGCGAGCAGGGAGGGGGATGGGCAGGTCCGATGTGATTGTGGGCTCGGGCAGACTTCTTGTTGCCCTTTTCGGCCTCCAGGTGCCGTTTTCGGGCCCTGGGATTGGGCGACGAGATCTATACATATCCACTGCTCCTGGCCAAGCCCATCCTGGGTCCAGGAGCGGTGTATATGTCCCCCTGGCTAGGCCACGTGGGCGTATGCACCGCTCCCGGGCCCAGGATGGGCCTGGCCAGGAGCAGTGGATATGTATAGATCTCGTAGCCCTATGGGACCGTCCAAACCGTAACAGGGGTGAAGAGCTGCACCAGCTGCATCTCGGGAGGGGTCCAGGGAGAGACGTCCGCAGATGTGGCCTCCTCCCCCCTCCTGTCTGCGGACCGGATTCGCCCTCCGCCTCCCTCCTGACGATACCGAACAGCATGTGCAGACAGCTGCTGGCCACGGAACTGGCGTACACTTTGGGCGATGCTCAAGGAAACTCAGGCTTTCGGCCAGAGTCTCGATTATTCTGAATGTTTCAATGCAAATCCTAAGATTTTGAAAGAATTTTTGGGTTTTCATTCAAGTTCTGAGACTCTGAATTTCTTAACCCATGATTTCTCAGGCACATCGCAGGGCGTACAATTATGGCAGCATCGCCGCTTGGGCATGCGGGGAAGGACGAGAGTGCACCGACCAGCGGGTGGGCTCCGCGCCCCCCTCGGCAGCTCCCCTCGGCAGAGCCCTGCGCGGGCGGCCGGGCGTGCCCCCCCTCTGGCCGACTCTTCAGGGGGCCGCACGCGAGCCCTACGGTCGGGGCCCTGAAGAAGGAACCCTTTTCGTTGGGGAGGGGCTCGGTGTTCCTTGATTGTTGTGCAGTTTGCCTTGGGTTTCCCCAAGGCTTACCATGGGAGATCGATCTTTCACTGATGGGAAAAAGGGGCTCGTTCCTTATCTAGGGTTCCTTGGGTCAACGCCCCGACCGTACCCCTGCCCCACACGATGGGAGGGTGGGGTTCGCTTCGTCTGGGAGCTCCCGAGCGAAGTGAAGCACACCCTCCCCCCCAGAAATCGTGGGGGGTGGGGGTAGGGCTCGCGTGTGGCCCCCGAACTCTGGGGCCAGTTCAGACCCCCCGATCGCCTCCAGACCGTGAATCCCAATTGTCGACCCCCCTGCTCGGCGAAGCTGCATCGCCTCTCGCCCCCTGGGATGTTCAGGAGGGAAACATAGGCACAGGCACATCATCGACGACCCCCAGGAAGATACACGAAAGTATCGGAAGTGGGGGAGACTACGAACATCGAGAAAGTATGGGACAATATGAGGAACCTGGGATTCGTGTCTGTTTATTTGTATGTCCCTGGGCCTCTTCAGAAGTGATATTCCGCCCACGGACCCCTCGGTGCGGGATCCCACCAGGATCCTGAAACGATTCCATGAAGACCACCCCGCGGAATTCTGGAATGAGTCAAGTTGTCGGTGCTGGCGACATCGTTCGGCGAGGCCCCACATCCTCGGGAGTGCTACTGATGAGGCGGGGGGATCGCGATAATCTTGAGTCCAAGGTTCTGCGACAGGCAGAGTGACTTCTCGGGCTGGGATTCCGCTCGGGCCACGTGTGCGGAATGTCCGACGGGGGTCCCCGCTCGACGGGGAGCAGCCCTGCTCGGGATCCGACAGCTCGCGCACCTGCGTAGTTAATCGGCGCCTGAGACGCCCTGCCCTGCTCCCGTCCTCACATCCCTATGCAGGCCTGCTTCCGCGTGCTGTTCCCTCCCAGCTGGCATCGCTCGGACGTGTGCACTTCTTCTCGGCGAGGGCCCTCGAGGAGCAGGATCCTCGGGTCAGCTCGCGAAGCGATGCGCGCACGAAGTCGAGAAGTGCACGGGGAATATGGACGCCCGAGCGATGGCGGGACAGGTACGAGAGGGACCAGGACCTCTACAGGATCGACTGGACCGTGGACGCGCGCAAGATCCACGGCAACGACAGGCATCAAGGGCGTAAAAAACGCCCCCACCCTGGTTTACGAGGCGCTGTGCGCGGAGCCTCCCTTGGGCTGGCAGGGTGGACCCCGCACATCGCGCGCGTGCCGCGCGGCGTCCTGGCGGCTCTCTGGCCTCTGGGAGCTCCCAGGAGGTTTACGGACCACGCAATGGCAACCCAGGGCAGGGGCGCTTTTGCACCCCTCAGAGGCAGGCGGTGTCTCCGCCCTTCCACCTGCCGCTCACCGGCGCCGCCGGCGGGCCGCCGACGCCCTTCCGGCTGATGCTGCGGGCGCTGCCCTCGGGACGCTGCGGCGGCCGCGCCAGCTTCAAGGCGTCGGCGGGCAGGGCCGTCGTGCTGCTCAAGTGCGAGGGCGACCTGCCCGCGCGGGCCGCGGACGCGCGGGCCGCCCAAGCGGGGCTGGAGCTGAGCTCGGGCAGGAGGTCGACTACAGAGTCGTCTTGCCCCAGCACCGCATCTCTCTCGTCGAATCTTCGAATCCTATCCAAGACCGTTCTACGTGTTTGTCGCAGATTCATCAGGGAAAACCTATGCTGGGGTAAATCAATTCTGTAGTCGATCTCCTCCTCCTCCTCCTTCCCATCCTCCTTTCCCTCCTCCTCCTCCTCCTGCCCCTCCCCCTCCCCTCCTCTCCTCCTCCTCCTCCTCGTTCCGCTCCTCTCTCCTCCTCCTCCTCCTCCGTCCTCTCTCTCTCTTCTCCTCCTCCTCTCCTCTCCTCCTCCCCTCCCTCTCTCCTCCTCCTCTCTCCTCCCTCCTCCTCCTCTCCTCTCCTCCTCCTCCTTCTCCTCCTCCTCCTCCTCCTCCTCCTCCTCCTCCTCCTCCTCCTCCTCCTCCTCGACGAGCGGGGTCGGAGGACCGTGCCGCACCGCCGAGGAGTCCTCCTCGCCGGTGCCCGCTGCGCCGCCGCTCCGAGAGAGGCGGCGGCGCGAGGGGGGGCGGCCTCTCTCCCGGCAGTGTGCAGGGCGAGAGGGGCCCTCTCGACGCCCTCCCTCGGGAGGCCCTGCCTCGGGAGCCTCCGCGGCCCCTCGAGGGATCGCCGCTCACCAAGCACCACCCCGACCCAACTTGGCCCGCGGGGGGTTTGGGGAGACCCGACCCAACTTGGGTCGGTGGTTTCGGGCTGCCTCCGAAGGCCCCGACTTCCCCTCCATCTCCAGTGGGGGGGTTCGGGGAGCACTGCAAGCGCACGCGTGAAGCCCGACCCCCCCCCGCCAAACCCGCAGTGCGGGTCTTCGGGTTGGGTTTTGGGGTGGTCTGGCAGGTAGTCGAGAGAGGCCCCGCCCCCTCGACAACCTCCCCCGGGCATCGCAAGCGCACGTGTGCAGCCCGACCCCCCCCCCCCCCGCCAAACCCGAAGTGTGGATCTTCGGGTTGGCTTGGGGTGGTCTGGCAGGTAGTCGAGAGAGGCCCCGCCCCCTGCGCCCTCCTCCTCCCCTGCGCCGCCCTGCCCCCTCCTCCCCCGCGCGCCGCCGAGGCCCGGCTCGGTCTGGAGCCCAGGGCCCGCTCCCCGCCCCCCCCTCTCGGGCCTCGGGGGCTTTGCCCCGGAGGCGCGCCGGCGCCGGCGCCGTCGGGAGCCGTGAGACGGGGGTCAGGGCAATGACGGGGGTCAGCCAGAGCGCCGGATCTCGCAGGCGCCTGCAGGGACAGGGCCGCACTGACCCGGGCTTGGGTGCAGGGTCCTGCAGGACCCTGCAGGATCCCTCGCATCGACCCGGGTTTGGGTGCAGGATCTGGCAGGGTTCTGCCAGGCCCGACTGACCCGGGCCTGGATTGACCCGGGTCAGAAGATCCCCGACGCCGCAGGGGCGGGTGCCCCGGAAGCGGGTGCCTCGGCAGCGCGCGGGGGAGCGGCAGGGAGGCGCCACGCTCTCTCTCAATGTCGTCTCGCCGATGCCCATCCGCATCCGGATCCCCCGCTGGGGACGTGCTCCTCGAGGCCCGAGGGGAGCAGCCTCTGTCCCCACCCAGGGGGCAAAATCGGCCAGGCTGGCTCGGGCCACGGCGGTGAGGATGGGGATCGGCTGATTCAATGACGCCCACCTGTGCGCGGGATGATGCGATCATGTCTGGGGAGGAGGAGGAGGAAGGAGGAAGAAGGAGTAGGAGGAGGAAGAAGGAGGAGGAGGAGGTGGAGGTGGGGAGGTGGAGGAGGTAGGAGGGGGGGAGAGAGTGAGGAGGAGGAGGACGGTGAAGGGCGGGAGGCGGAAGGGGGAGGAGGAGGAGGAGAAGGAGGAGGGAAAGGGGAAGGAGAGGAGGAGGAGGAGGAGGGGAGGAGGCGGAGGAGGTAGGAGGAGGAGGAGGCAGGAGGAGGAGGAGGAGGAGGAGGAGGAGGAGGAGGGGGAGGAGGGGGAGGAGCTGCAGGAGGAGGCCACATCTTGCGCGTGGGAGTGCGCGCGCGGGGCTGGCGGCGCGGCGCCGTCCCTCCGGCCCAGCCCGCGCCTTCTCCAGAGCTCGGGGGTTCGCAGATGGGGGGGCTCTCCAATCAGGAGGGAAATAAACACACAGACACACTTAATCGTCGACTCCCAGGAAAATATGGGAAAATATGGGAAGTGGTGGGGAAGACAGAAACCCAGGAAAATACAGAAAATATGGGGAATCCTTTTATTCGTGTGTATTTATTTGTGTGTTTGTGGGCCCCTTCATCCAAGGATGGGGTTAGGGAACGAACCCAGTTGGATGCTATCCTCCGAGGAAGAGAAACACGCCACAAAAACATACACTTTTGGCGCCCCGCGCGGATTTCTTGGATCCGCGCTGGGCCCCCCCGTCGGCGCCTCCCGGCGCCGCCCCTGGCGCGCTCAGCGCGCCAGGGAGGGGGGGCCCAGCGCAGATCCAAGAAGTCCGCGCGGAGCGCCACAAGTGTATGCTCATGCCATCTGCTCGTCTTCGAGTCGTTTCCTTCCTCCAGGAGCTGTTCAGAGCGAGCGACTTCCCTCCAAACCCCACCTCCGCCCCTGCCCCACCTCTTCGCCCTCCCCCCCCTGCCCGGCAGAGCTCCACACCCCTCTCCGATCCGGCGGGCGTGGCACTTTTTCTCACTCCCGGCGCTCTCTCGCCCGGGCTTCGGAGTCGGGCCCCGGGGCCATTCGCAGACCGATCTGGTCGGAGCCTCAGAGACGGGGGTCAGTGCAATGACGGGGGTCGGTCAGAGCGCCCGATCTGGCAGGATCCGGCAGGGCCCGGGTCGCATTGGCCCTGGGCTTGGGCACAGGACCCTGCAGGCTCCCGCAGGGCTCCTGCGCAGCGGCTCCCCAGGACGTGGCCTTCCGCATCGCCGTCGGCGGCGGGCCGGCGTCACCCCCGCGGGGCCCGCGGGTCCACGACTTCGCGCGCTGCGCGGTGGGGGGGCTGCCGGCGGATCAGGCCCACGCCTCCCCAAAGGGGGTCCTTCGGGTTAGCGAATCTTCGATCGGCGTTGATTCAGCGTCTAGAGTCGATAAGATAGCGCCGATTTAGCGTCGGGTAGCCTCGATTCAGCGTCGATTTGGCGTCGCTTTGGCGTCGATATCGTCGATTCGCAAGAGCCGACAAGAGGCTCCCATGAGTTGGCACCGAAGTAGCCCGATCGGGCGGGGTGGTTGAAGAGGATCGCTCCGCCTGGAGCCGAGCTTCTCCACGCCGAAGTCGCCGATACATCGGCGATACGTCAGGAGGGGAAAACACACACAGACACAATTAATCGTCGCCTCCCAGGAAAATATGGGAAAATATGGGAAGTGGGGGGAAGACAAAAACCCAGAAAATATAGGAAAATATGGGGAATCTGGTCATTTGTGTGTATTTATTTGTGTGTCCCAGTTCCCCTTCAATGCGGCGCGATCCTTCGACCCCCTCTACCACTGCTTACCAAACCACCCCAGCCCAGCCACGAAGGCCCCAGACCCTCGCTGCTCTGGAGCGCCTCCCCCCACACACACCAGAAATTGACGATCCCACCGGTGGCTTCGGATTTTGGGCCGGTTTGGCAGGCAGTCTCGGAAAGTCCAGGTTTCGCCAGGGGCTGGCTCCCTTTCAAAACGGCCGAACCCCCTCCGAACTCCTTCCGAAGCCCGCCGAACGCCGTCTCTAGGAGGGGCTCCCAGAGGCTTTCGGAGGGCTCCGGGAGGGTTTTGGAAGGGTTGCCGCCGTTCCCGGGGGGAGACCAGAACCAGGGGGGGGAAGGCAAAAACCCATAAAATATAGGAAAATATGGGGAGTCTTTTTATTTGTGTGTATTTATTTGTGTGTCCCAGGGCCCCTTCACAGAACCCAGCGGACCTCGGGCTTTCCCCGCCCACCTGCAGGCTTGGTGCTCGCGCTGTCAAGGCTCCTGCTCTCCGAGAGCCCTGCAGCGCGTCGTCCGCGCCTCGCCTCGGCACGTCCGGGCTCCGCAGCTGCCGGCGCGCCCTCCCGTGCTCAGCTGCGTTCTTGCTCGTACTCGCCGAGCGCCTGCCACTACTCGCAGAGTGCCTGCTCGCAAACGTCTGAAGCACAGTTACACTCGCTCCCATGTGGAACGTATCGTGGCTCCCCCGCGGCGGATCCAGGCCAGTGGCGAGCACTTGCCTTCGCGAGTCGTGGAGCGCGCTCGCGTCCTTGTTGCGGACGCTGCGCGGGCCTGACGAGAGCTTGCGGGGCCCCCTCCAGAGTAGGGGGCCACATGCGAACCCTACCCCTACCCCCCACGACTTCTGAGGGGGAGGGTGGGGTTCGCTTCGCTCGGGAGCTCCCGAACGAAGTGAACCCCACCCTCCCCCTCAGAAATCGTGTGGGGAGTAGGGGTAGGGTTCGCATGCGGTCCCCTGCAGAGTGAGCCCCGGCTGGGGAGGCCCCCCGCAGGCGGAGTGGCAGCTCGGCGCCGCAGTGGACGCGTCCTCGCAGACGCTCGCCGTGCGCGTCGAGGCGGCGCCCCGGGCCCCGGGCGCCCCGGCGGCGTGGGGCGGCGGCCCCGAGGGCGAGGCGCGGTACCAGTGAGGGGGCTGCGGGGCGCGTGCCCCGCAGGGCGTCGGCGTCGTCGTCGTCGTCGTCGTCGTCGTCGTCGTCGTCGTCGTCGTCGGCCTCCGCCTTCTCCCCCTGCCCCTCCTCCTGCTCCTGCCCCTCCCTCCTCGCTGCCTTTCCGTCTTCCCTCCGCCGGCTCCTTCCCCTCCTCCCCTTCTTCGCCTCGCTCCCTCCCTCCCTCCCCTCTTTCTTTTCCGTCTTCGTCCCTCCTCCGTCCACCTCGTCCCTCCTCCTTCTTACTTTCCGCTCATCCTCTCCCTCCTCCCGTTCCTCCTCATCCCCGCCCCCTGCTCCTCTGTGTACATACTGTGCATATGCTCACCCGCGATCCTGGAATGCGCATGGCAGACCACGGCTATGGGCGAGAATCTGTCTGCTAGACCCGACATTCCGCTGCCAGTTCTCTTCTTGAGGCTCTGCGGTCGTCAGGCTCAGAAGAATCCGCGCTGGTCCTCTTCAACCCGATTATCTTTGTCCTTTTCTTCCTTCTCTTCCTCCTGCTCCATCTCCCGCCACTCGGCACCTGTCGCGTGTTGGAAGTTGGCAGCGGATGGTGGGACGGTGGCAATGATGCTAGCAGCGGTGGTGCTATCTCTCATGGGTCGGCCCATCTGCGCGTACCAGCGACGGGGGTTCCGGAGGGCAGAGACCTTCGGGAGACATTTGGAGGGACGTCCTCATCCCCCCTGTAACCTCACCAGCCCATCAGAACGATTGTGCAGGCAGTTGCCTTATGTCAAGGCATTGTGGGGGAGGCACGCCGTGGCATCAAGGTGGAAGCGCCATGGCCCCAAGAGGTGGAGGATGGAGGGGGAACGGAGGAGGAGGAGAAGAGGAGGAGGAGGAGGAGGAGGAGGAGGATGGAGGGAGGGAGGGAGGGAGGGAGGGTGGGAGGGAGGGAGGAGGGAGGGCGGGGGGAGGGGAGGGAGGGGAGGGAGGGAGAGGGAAGGAGGGAGGGAGGGAGGGATGGAGGAGGGAGGAAGGGAGGAGGGTAGGTGGAGCAGGAGAGCGGAGGAGCAGGAGGAGCAGGAGGAGCAGGCGCAGGAGGCAGCAGAGAAGCAGGAGGACGCAGAGCAGGAGGGAGGAGGAGGAGGAGGAGGAGGAGGGAGGAGGAGGGAGGAGGAGGAGGAGGGAGGAGGAGGAGGAGGAGGAGGAGGAGAGGTAGGAGGAGGAGAGAGGGAGGAGGAGGAGGAGGAGGAGCAGGAGCAGGAGGAGGAGGAGGAGGAGGAGAGAGGAGGCGGAGGAGGAGGAGGAGGAGGTAGGAGGAGGGAGGGAGGAGGAGAGGAGGAGGAGGTGGAGGCGGAGGAGGAGGGGGGAGCAGCGGGGCATGCAGCAGCAGCAGCAGCAGCCAGCGCAGGCTAGCAGCCAGCAGGAGCAGGAGGAGAGGAGGCGCAGGAGGAGGAGGAGGGAGCAGGAGGAGCAGGAGGAGCAGGAGGAGCAGGAGGGGACGGACGGAGCAGGAGGAGCAGGTGGAGAGGAGGAGAGGAGGAGGAGGAGGAGGAGGAGGAGGAGGAGGAGGAGGAGGAGGAGGAGGAGAGGGGCAGCAGGAGGAGGAGGAGGGGTAGGAGGAGGAGGAGGAGGAGGAGGAGAGAGGAGGAGGGGAGGAGGAGAAGGAGAAGGAGGGGGAGTGGGTGGACGGAGGAGGGAAAAGGAAGGAGGGAGGCGGAGGATTCGGCGGTTGAGGAAAAGGAAGAGGAGGAGGAGGAGGGTAATCAGAAAGGCCGGAGGCCTCTTGGATGTTTCTCGGAGTCTCTGCGGATGTCTTTGTAGACTTTCTGGAACGATGACTCTCGGGTGTCTCGGGGGAGCCTTTTTGGGTCTCTTGGTGGTCTTTTGGAGTCTTTTGGGTGTATCTTGGGGGCATCATGGGGGCCATTTGGGGCCTGCTGGGCGCCTCTTGGGCCCTGTTAGGTTACTCTTGGGAAGCGTCGGGGGCCATGTTGGGGCCATTTTGGAGGATACCCCGATCAAACGAGGGGGGGTCCCATGTTAGATTCCCCTCCCCCAGGAGGCCCATATGGGCCCAACACCTAAGTAAAAGGACGGATGTTTGCCTTTCTGCCGAAGCCGTCCTGGAACGCTCCAAGGGGTCACGGGGCGCCCCGCCAAGGCCCATGGGGATGCGGCAGGGGGGGACATGCCCCCCCCCGAGCTCGGTGAACCGCGCGCACCCAGAGGGGCCGGGGGGATATCTTGCTCCCGAGAAACAGCGCACGCGATACGGGGCCCCGTTGGCATGGCAAGAGCCCGTGCCCGGGCCGCAGACTTTTGAGCACTCTTCGCCCCCGTGCCGACGGCCGCGCCGTGCCGTGCGTCCGCGCTCCGCGCCTGCGCGCGCGCGCGCGTCGTGCCGTGCCCCCGCGCGTGCCCGCGCCGCGCCCGGGCTCCCGCGGCGTGCCTTTCGCGAGCCTGGCCGTGCCCCGTGCCGTGCCCGCGCTCCCAGGTGCGCGAGCACACCGTGCCGTGCCACTGCCCGCGTGCCACTGCCCGCGTGCCGCGCTGGGCCGCGCTTACCAGCCTGGAACATATGCCTATCCCTATGCTGGGCATGCTCCTCATCACGATGCCAATCTCAGGGATTCTCTTATCTTTTGAGGGCGGATCCCTGAGACTGTCCTCGCCTTTTGGCGTGCCAATCTTAGGGATGGGGATCAGTTCGAGGCTGGTGACGCGTGCCCATGCCGTGCCCTGCCGTGCCGGAGCGCGAGGCACAAGAGCACGCGCCGCGACCCGCGTCGTGCGGTGCCCGCGCGCCGTGCCGTGCGCGTCGTGCCCGGGGGCCTTCCAGGGCGACAGCTGCACCGCGTCGTGCCGTGCCGTGCACGGCACGAGTGTCGAAGAGAGGTAAGAGGTGTCTTTGGTGCACTCGGGGGTGGACAGAACCCCCAACAGTGACACGTCGATTAGTGAATTGTCCGTTTTCGGCTCTCGAGAGGGCGCCGCGGCCGTTATTTTCCAGGTTTGCGCCCGCCAGGTTTGGGCCTCAGGTCGTTTTCACTAAACCACGTTTTACTAAAGGGAGGTCTGTCCATCCCCGATGCACGATGAATGCATCGGGGTAGAGGAGGTATCGGACATCGAATTCCGGTGGAAAGAGGGGTGGGGCGAACGATGAAGGCGGCACGACATGGGGGGGAGGGTGGGCGGAACAGCAGAGGAGTTTGATGGACACCATCCAGTTACCTTTGGCACACCCCGCCACCTTGCCTGGGTTTTGGACTAGCGGTTCCCTTGCGTTTTTTTGGGGCTCTGGGAGGCGTTTTGGGGACCTCTTCTCAGTTTCTTGAGGCCTTTAGGTGGTCTCTTGGGGGCCACCTTGAGGCCTCAGGAGTGAGGAGCCCAAACGTGACGACATGCACAGCGTTTGGATGAGCCGCGCGAATCAAAACGAGATGGAAACTCCTCAGAGAGGACCTCTCGCTCACGACTTCTTCGCGAATCACTCACGTACGATGCTCCCGCTCGAGGTTTTTTACAGATTCAGGCCTGAGGAGCCCAGGAGTGACGACAGTGACAGGGATCGGATGACCCGCACGGATCAATCAGCCTGGCAGGGGTCTCCACTTTATGCATCTGTGAGTACCGCATCCGTGAGTATCGTGTTCGGTGGAGCTCACTACGGGGCCACGAATCGCCGTGCTGGGTGGCACCTGACGCATACGTACACAGCCACTGGGGCCTTCGGTGGAGCTCCCTATGGGGCCACTAAGCGCCCTCTGGGTGGCGCGGGACGCATGCGTACGCAGCCGCTGGGACCTTCGGTGAAGCTTTTTATGAGGCCACGAAACGCCGTGCTGGGTGGCGCGGTACGCATGCGTACACAGCCGCTGGGGCCTTGGTTGTAGCTTGCTATTGAGCCACGAAGTGCCGTACTGGGAGGCGCGGGACGCATGCGTACACAGCCACTGGGGCCTTCGGTGGAGCTCGCTACGGGGCCACGATGCGCCGTACGGGGTGGTGCGGGACGCATGTGATCACTGTCACTGGGGCCTTCGGTTGAGCTCCCTATGGGGCCACGAAACGCCGTGCTGGGTGGCGCGGTACGCATGCGTACACAGCCACTGGGGCCTTCGGTGGAGCTCCCTATGGGGCCACAAACCGCCTTACTGGGTGCCGCTGGACGCAGGTCATCACGGCCACTGGGGCCTTCGGTGGAACTCCCTATGGGGTCACGAAGCGCCGTGCTGGGTGGCGCGGTACGCGTGCGTACACAGCCACTGGGGCCTTCAGTGGAGCTCCCTTATGAGGGCACGAATCGCCGTGCTGGGTGGCGCGTGGCGCATGTGTGCAAGGCCACTGGGGCCTTCGGTGGATCTCCCTATGGGGGCACGAAGCGCCTTGCTGGGTGGCGCGGGACGCGTGCGATCACTGTCATTCGGGGCTTCCTTGGAGCTCCCTATGGGGCCACGAAGCGCCGTACTGGGTGCGGGGGGCAGAGGAACGGATAGGAAGAGGAAGGAGGGAGCGGATGAAGGAGGAGAGGAGAGGAGAGGAGAGGAGACGCGGCGCGTTGTCTCTTCACAGCGAGGGCCCAACACCACATGATGGCTGGGAACTACACGAGGTGGCGACCCTATATGGAAGGCTCCCGCTCGAGACCTCCCTGCGGTGGTGTGTGTGTGCGCGTGTGTGTGTGTGTGTGTGTGTGTGTGTGTGTGTGTGTGTGTGTGTGTGTGTGTGCGTGTGCGCGTGCGCGTGCGTGTGCGTGTGCGTGTGCGTGTGCGTGTGAGTGCGTGCGTGACTGAGTGAGGGAGGGAGTGTGTGTGTGTATATATGTGTTGTGAGTGTCTGAGTGTTGCGATGACGGTGATGAATCTGATGCTGATGGTGACGACGACCATGATGATGACGATGACGATGATGAGGATGATGACGATGATAATGATGATGCTGGTGATGATGATGCTGATGCTGATGCTGATGCTGATGCTGATGCTTATGATCTTATGATGCGGATTAGGCTGATGGGATATGACGATGGTGATTATGATGCTGCTGCTGATGATGATGCTGCTGCTGATGCTACTGCTGCTGCTGATTATGATGATGCTGATAATAATGATGATGCAGATGATGACGATGATGGTGATCATGCTGATGCTGATGCTGCTGCTGCGGGTGATTCTGATGCTGATGATGATGGTGATGGTGATGGTGGTGGTGGTGGTGATGATGGTGGTGGTAATGATGCTGATATCTGAAAGAGCGTG